CGGGGGCGGCCTGGGGCGAGGGCCGCGCTCGGCCCCGCGTGCCCGGCCCGGTGTGCCCGGCCCGTTGCTGCCCGACTGGGTGGTACCGGTCGGCTATGTGGTGTCGGTCGGCGGACCGCGACCCGGCCTTGCGGAGACGTCGCCAGCTCTGTGCCGGTGATCCGGTGTTTACCTCCTTGAACGCGGAATTGGGTGACACTGTTGTAGCTGGAGATCGCGCGTATTCGTCGGAAAGGCCGGGGGTGGAACCAGTGCACTCATTTAATGCACATCGAAAATCTGTAATAACTTGCAGCAGCTGATAGGGAGTGTTTTCTTTATTGCATGCTGTAAATTGACCTGCTGTGACACAATTTTCAAATAAAGCGTTGCAGAAATTAAACTTAAGTTATTTTAGAACTAATGACTTTCTTAACTAAATCCTAATTGCATTACTGTAGAGACCTACCTAATTGCTTGCTGGGAGCAGAGCGCCTGCACGGGAGGGAGAAAAGGCCTGTCTGTAGTCACTTCGCCTGCCCACTTTTCTCTACTCAGGCTTTTTGCCCGTTCCCACAAACCACCTAAGCTTTTAAGGCCTGGGAGTAAACCTGTAAACAGCCCTGGCACTGCGCCCCAACGGGTTTGGGGGGATGCTGGCAGCTTGCACCTTGACCTGGTTTCGCTTTTTCATGGGTAATATGATCATGGTTGCCGGGAGTTTTAATTGCTTCTGTGCATTATTCAGGGTCGGCCTAATGAAAGCTGGTGTGGTGGTTTCAGAGTCCAGTGCTGAGAGGTGATGGTGGTGCTGCTGCTGGTAGTTGGGGGAGGGAGGGAGGGAGGGAGGTCGAGTTAAAAAAACTCAGCTGCTTGTAAGCAAATATACGCTACAGCAGTTACAAGGCAACAAAAGTTATTGCAGAATTTGGCTGTCACTATGGCAACACAATTACTCTATTATAATTGGAAATGCAAAATGCCACCCAGTTAGAAGTTTCACCAGAATGGAGTTTGGGATATCAAAAATATGAGATGTGATTTTTTTCCAGGTAGCCCCTGTGAATTCTAGTCTGTTCAGTTATCCTATTTTTAAGACTGATCAGCTTTCTCATATACTCTGCTCCTGCGATCCGTGGCATCTTTCTCCAGAAGAACTTTTGTTTGTGTGGGAGGGAAGTATTTTCATGCCTTAAAAACACACCCTGACACATTGTGAGACATCTATAGCTTTCTGTGCTCTCTTTTTTAAAAGATCAAATACCTTTCTAAAGAGAGCAGTAATCAATCAGAAAAGAGGTAGGATTTGCTTGACAGGCAGATGTAATACTGCCCTCTTTAGGGTTTTTGCTTTCTCCTGCAAGGGTAGCTGGCTGGGAGCATAGCGGGAGCCCTGGACAGGCGTAGAGGCAAGATGACTGGACTGCACAGAGGCCTGGAAGGCCTAGGGACCAAAGACAGATGATGACTGAAGTGGCTGTACAGAGTTATGTTCTGTGATCAGCAGCCTCATGTTCTTGCAAAATAAAAGCCCCCATGAAAAGCCCCCAGTGCCATGCTCCCAGAGGATGAGGTGGAGCAGACAGCATGGTTCCCTGGCTGTGTGCAGTCCCAGTCGCCTTGTTTGGCTTTGAGTGGTCAGAAACCTGCTGTAGGAGATGCCCATCCACATCTGCCAGCAGGACTCTGGTGCTGGAAGTTTCCACACATTGTGGAATTGCTGCAGTTTAATTTCATTATAACTCTTTCCTTCTAACTACTGCATATTTATGCCCAGTAATCGACTTCCATTTTCCAGCTTCATTGTGGGGCTTCAATGCAGCATGAATGGCTTTGAATTCCAATCCTTTGATGTTGGGGGTGGCACCAAGGGAAAGGCGACTTTGTGCCTTTCTAATTGCCAGAGCAGAAGAAAAATTTCATCACTCCTGTAGAACTCATCCATACTGTTCTCTATTGAAAACGGCTGGGCTTTCAGAGCTCCAAAGCTGCCATGAGTAATGCATTAATACCTGATAGCGTGAGCAAGAGAGATGCAGAAAATGAGAGACAACTGCTGCTGTTGGGAGGTGGAAGGCAAGCGACGGGCTGTGGTGAGGCTCAGGGTCCTGGGATCAAGTCCCTGGCTGGCTGGGGAGAATGCCCACATTTTGGACCCCTCCCCCTTTGGGACTAGCCCTAGTCTGTTCTGCCATGGGGATCAGGAAGGGTAGATTTTGGCCTTTTTTTTTTTTTTTTTTTTTTTTTTGGATGCTTTCTTTTTTTTTTTTTTTTTTTTGCCCTTGGATGACCAGAATGTGCCCTGCAGTGTAGTGGGCTCTGGGTGTTTGGCCTCCAGCTTAGAGGAGGGCACAGTGCCTGGCGTTGAAATCATGGGAGGCCTGGGTCGCAGTGCTTGCCGGTTTGGACAGAGCTGGACTCGAGTCTTACTGGGCCCACTCCAGCAGAGGCCCTTCTGGAGTAGGCTTTCCTCTCTGGAGCTCTTGTAAGAGAGTGGGTCCTCCTGGGAGCAGAACAGGGGCTGGGGCTGCTGCAGCCTACTTGGGGCCTCACTTCTACCTCCTGGAAAGCCTCTTCAGGGGAACGCAGACTGCCTCCACGGAGACCCTGTCCTGTGGTCCAGGTCAGCACTCTACAAATCAGAAAGCCTTTCCCGGAGCAGGGAGATCATGACCCAGGGTGTAAGCACTGGTCCTGTAAACCACTAGCCAGCGTTTCAGGAGCACCTGGTCAGGGGTACATGCTGTTTTAGGCACTTGCTGTCTGGGTCTCATTCATCCTCCTTGCAACCCAGGCCTGAGAGGTGGGTGCTGCTGTGCCCTTTTTGAGAGAGGATGCATAGGAATCGGGCGCCCTGCTGTGTCAGGTCCCGTCCCTGCTCTGCCTCTGAGCCAGGGCTGGTCATGAGTGGACGTGAGCTGCTGTCAAGGTGTTGGAGTGAGCTCAGCCTCTCTAGGAGACAGTTCGGGGTGCTTTTCAGGTACAGTGTTGTGTTGCTGGTTCCTGGGGGTGTCAGGGTTAGCACTGTGTTGTGAAGGGCTGTGTGTGGTTGGAGGGCTGGAGACACCCTAACAGTCCTGGGCTGGGCTGGAGACTTGCCCAGCTTGTAGGAGATGCTGGGTGGTTGCCCACACCCACCCTCAGACCTTCCTGAGGAGGCTCCAGGCTACATGGAGCAGGCTGGGGTTGCTACCCGCAGCTGCTTGGTACTTGCTGTTCCACCTGTCAGTTACCCTTGGAAGGTTTTATTGGAAGAGCTCATTTGGAGACCAAAGCCTTTGAAAAACTGAGTTAATCCATTCTTACCCTAAAACCAAGGAGAAGTAATGGAGAAAATATTGGCAGATTTAAAAGAAAACTGTCTGGTAAGGCTGGGGATGTAGCTTAGTGGTTGAAGCGCTCGCATGAAATGGTCAAGGTCCTGCGTTCCATCCCGAAGACCATAGAAAACATACTCTCCATAAGTTTGGTACAGAGACAGGAAAAAATACAACGTACAGTATCTTTGTGAGTGTAACAGTAATATGTAAAGAACTTTTGCATACTGGTAGTAAAAGTCTGCACCTTCTTATTGCAGGATGATGAAAGCAAGTAGATGTGCTCATCTCCGTGGCTGATACGAGAAGGCAGAACTTGCTGATAAAGTCAGCTTGAAGGAGACTCATTTATACCTGTCATACCAGTATGGTGGTAGCCTATTGCCAGTGATAGTAACGAATCTTATTCTCCAAGGCTTTTGCAGGGTTTAAATACATCACCATATGGAGGTTGCCATATAGGAAGCACCATATAAGTTTTGGATGTTATTTATTACTTTTTCTCTCTTGAGACCTATATGTGTTAATCATACAAAATTTAGTAGTTGCTTAATTATGCTCTGGAAGAGCTTTGTGTCACCCAGTTAGAGGGTTGCTTTCCTTGTCCCAGGAATTCTACACTGTGGAACACTCCAAGGGAAGAGTGTGTTGCCCTTGGGTGTGTGTAGACTGTTAGGCTCGGTCGTTCGTATGAGCATATGTGACAGGTATACCTGGTGTCGCCATCCTTGGAGTCCTGCATGCACAGAGTGGCACAGGTGTGCAGGTGTCAGTGGAAAGAGTGGGCCCAGAGCAGTGTGCA